TAAGTCAGCCTGTTAATCCTGGCGGGTGACTGAGGTGAACGTACTCACCGTAAACGGAAATACACTCAAATGTGGAGTTGGAAGTATTAAGCTTGACGTGGACAATGCAAACCCCCTCAAAATCGATGTCTTGTTAGTGGATGGAGAGCTACTGGGTTTTGACTTGTTGCTTGGAGTCGACGCCTTTAAAAAGTTGAGCGGACTCCAAATAACACAGTGTGATGATGTACGGTTTCCCAAGCGTGGGACAGTTTGTTACACCGCTATTAAAATAGAAGAACCTGATTTCTGCGCCGAATTCGACCCAAACAGGAAGATATGGGTCGCATCATCGAAGTGGTCTGATGGTCGATCACCGGGGAGTTTGAGAAATCGGATACCCAAGTACCCAATACCAACGGGAGTCAAGGAGGAATACGATCGTGAGCTGCAGACTTGGCTTGATAACGGTTGGTTGCAGCCTTATCCTGAAAAGGAACTCGGTCCTCCAAAAGGTTTAATTCCGTTGATGGCGGTGGTGCAGAAAAACAAAAATAAAGTGCGACGAGTATTAGACTATCGAGAGCTGAATGAGTGTCTCGACGCATACACAGCGAATGCTGACGTGTGCGCACAGAAACAGAGGAAGTGGCGTAAAAAAGGACGGGATGTCGCTATCCTTGACCTACGGCAGGTCTATTTACAAGTACATATCTAAAAGTCACTTTGGACCTTTCAAACTGTAATTTTCAAGGGGCGAAGATATTGCTTGACCTGAATGGGTTTCGGGTTGAATGTTGCACCAGCCATAATGAAGGTCATTGTGGACGCCGCGTTGGCGAAAGACTAGTCCGTTCGACGGGCAACCTCATCATATATTGATGACATTTATGTTGACGAGAGCATGATTTCAGCAGCTCGCGTGAAAGAGCACTTGGCTGCGTTTGGTTTGACCTCCAAGAATCTGGAGCGGTTACGGGATGGCACACGTGTGCTGGGTTTGCATGTCGCGGAAGATAACAACACGCTTAAGTGGACACGTGAAAATGGCATTCCATCAATTCCTGAGGTCCTGGCACGACGTAACGTCTTCTCGTGGTGTGGAAAACTGGTGGGTCACGTTCCTGTGTGTGGGTGGCTTCGTGTTGCTGCATCATTTGTAAAACGCAGGACAGTATCGATCACGTCTGTTTGGGACGACGAAGTGACAGATGCTCCCCTTACGAACATGATTGAGGACATAGCGGAAAGAATACGCCAGAATGACCCTGCACACGGTAAGTGGTGCACAAGCGGACACGCTTATGAGGTATGGGTGGATGCGAGTTCTCTCGCCACAGGGGTTTTGTTGGAGGTTGACGGAAGCGTTGTAGAAGACGCATATTGGCTGCAACCTGTGAAGGACGCCCAACATATCAATTTATCAGAATTGGACGCTATTCTGAAGGGCGTCAATTTAGCATTACAGTGGGGCGCAACGGAGCTACACCTCTTCACGGACTTCGCGTGTGTGCACCGGTGGGTATCGAACATGCTCACTGGCAAAGCCTGAATACGAACTAAGGCTGATCCGGAGGCGTTTGAGTACTCTTGAAAAACAGAGTATAACTTATTGATCACGATAAGTTTAGTAACGTCGAGTTAGAATCGAGCGGATAAACTCACCAGGGTATCGCAACGATGGTATGAGATGATAAAGAAGGAAACCGAACCAACACGCCCGATATGCGCTTCCATGATGAACAAAACCTCTCCTGATCATATACGTACCATACATTGCCAGAGTGGACATCCTGGCGTCAGGCGGACGCTATATTTTGTGAGACGAGTCTACCATACGATATCCAAGGCAGTGGTCAGAAAATGTAAAGAATGCCAGTCAATTGACCCAGACTCAAGTCGTTGGCCTCGTGGCAACCTAAGTGTGACTGAAATCTGGACCCATTTAGGAATGGACATTACACGGTGGGCAACACTACCTTACGTTAATTGATTGCGGCCCTAGTAGATTTGCGATATGGCGACGCCTACTTCAACAAAACTCAAGAAGCGTCATTCGGCAGTTAGAAAGTGTTTTTTTGAACGAGGCCCACCATCAGAAATCCTGACTGACAATGACACTGCATTTCGCAGTAAGTCCTTTAAAGATTTATTGGATGACTGGGGAGTCTAACTTCGTTTTCGCTGTGCCTATGTTCCTGCAGGAAACGGTATAGCGGAAAGATTTCATCGGAGCATAAAGCGAATTGCAGCAAGAAAGCAGTGTTCGATAATGGAGGCAGTATACTGGCATAATATCACGCCGAAGGATGATATATCGTCGACTAATGCGCCTGCTAATATGATTCACAGTTACCAACTGAAAGTAAAGGGAATTACTACAATATTACCACCTGATCGTTGTAAGTATCACGATATATACAAAGTTGGGAGTATGGGTGAAAGCTCCCCATGGCCGGTGTACCTCCAGGTATCAAGTGTGTCGCGTGACGGACATTGTAAGTCCACAAACAATACTAGTTGACGGGATGCCACGGCATGTAAAAGATCTTCGCCTTTTTGTTGATTCTGATACATCACCGAGCGAATCCGATGATGATTCATCGTCTGACAGTGATCGCATAATTGAGATCAGAGAATCCGATGCTTCCACAAACACAGAATTTCCGGAAACTTGAGATACGTCTGATGACTCCTTCGGAGACGACTCTCCGACACGCGTAAGGGAAATAGTGCCATTACGACGAAGCACCAGGATAGAGAGAGCTGCTCCAGGCTGTTCGATTTATGATAGTGAGATCGGGGAGGGTATAGCGAAGAAAACGGCGACTTACCTCGTCAAACCAAGCGACAGCGCGTCGCGTGTATTCTACGACGGAAAAAGGGGCGAAAAAGAAAATTACTTACCAAACAAAAGGGCACGTATTCCGCATAACATGCTGAAAATGGAATATTTGAATTAAAAAAAAAATCAAGTCTGTCGCAGGAGTCGCTATAAAAGTATGTTGATATGCAAATTATTGAACATCCTCTCCCAACTGTCAACGAATGGGGAAAAAAAAATGTTCGTCTGATAAAAGCAGTTGGTGTTCTCGAATCAGGGAAAAAATCGACGATTTTGGCTGCCTGCGTGCATTGTGATTTGTGAAATATTACTTGCGAATCGAGTTTTCGGCATTTTCTTTCTGTCCCCGATGTTCGAGCCTGAACTTAGTGATTTATTCTCGGCGACGTGGAAATACTCTGCGATAAACATTTCCTTTGCAATCCCAGATCGCTTACAATATCTCAAGTAATTAAATAATAACGACAAAGGAAACTTTTTACATTCATACTGCCGAATGTCTATTATAGACTCCACTGGTGAAAAAGAAATATCTGAATTTAAATTAAAAAGAATTTAAAAAGAAAGAGAGAAAACAGAAACTTCAAAACAAACAAAAACGGATAAATAAAAAGAATTCAGGAAAAGAAAGAATATGAAAAAAGAATCTTGAATGAAATTTAATTGCTATCTTTGCTTTATTTCATGAAATTTGTCGGCAAAATAATTGTTTGATTTCGGCATATGGGAAAACAACAGTTCAATTCTAGTACTGAGCATATCTGATTATACTACTCAAGGCTGAGATAAAACCAACCACACTGTTAAGAACTGATAAAGGAGAAATGGTGCGTAGTTTTACCATTGAATCTCCAAAGAGACCATGTAAGCTTTGAATTCAGATTTTCCTTCAGCTAGACTGTCTGTCCTGGAAGAAGATGGATTTATCCCAAGGAGATTAGCCTGACTGAACGAAATTGAATAAACAGAATTTTGAATTCGGCTCAGCTATCCAACGTTGCACACTGTTAACCATTAACACACACACACACACACACACACACGGCCTAAATAAGATATCAAAAGATTTACTGATGTTCGGTTATTTGGTTGCATTTTGGCAGTAAAAAATATTCAGCTCACTCATACAAATATAAACCGTAATTATATATATATATATATATATATATATTTGTGTCTCTCTCTCTCTCTCTCTCTTTAAAAGGCAGGATGTGTGTGTGTGTGCGTGTAACGAATGCACGGCCGCAATTTTCAACGGATTTGCCCCAAAATTTACATGCACATGCTCCAAGTTAGCGGGAAGGCCAAGACCAACTTTGTATTTCCCAACGCACATCGATAGTGGAAATAATCGATTTTTTCATGCTCCTACGGCAGTTTTCATGTAGTGTGCGGTCATTTTCTACTGGCCAGCGTGAGAGCCAACAGTTGACTGACACGAATGTTAACTAGCATGCAAAAAAAAAAAAAAATCGATAGCTGCATTCGTCACAAGTGGGAAAAATTTAAATCTGCATGGCACTTTACTCGAATTGGCTCATTCACTTGCTTAAACTCAACGTTGATTCTGATTCCGCAGAACTGGGTTGGATGTGAAAAAGTATTTCTTGTTAACATTCTTTTTTCGTTTGGTTTATCCAGTTACGAGTCCTTTTTTAAAGCTGATCGTTTTGGGTTCATTTTGTTTAGTTCTTTTTTCGTAGCAGATTTAATGTTTAGTAAAGAGCTTAGAAAAAATTCGCAGTGTGAGATAGGCAAGAAGTAAGACATGTAGCAACATCAGCAACGCAAAGGGCAGTTCTTTAAAGGCAAGGAAGGGCGAAAATATTTTAAGTGATAGCGATTGCTGTATGAGTCGCACGATTTTTGAATCGAGCACGGGCAACGCCGGGCCATGCTGCTAGTATATATATATATATATATATTCATCATATTGCTCTGTACAAATAAAAAAAATATAGAGTGGAGCTCTGTTTTTGTGGATTAATTTTAATATTTTCATATTATTAGGACCCATTTGGATTATACACCCACAGAATGTATTTTATCTTTACTATATATATATATATATATATATATATATATGTGTGTGTGTGTGTTTGTACAAACTCTCATAAAATCTATATTATATTACCAACTAAGGCACTTTTATCTTCTCAGTGCATTTTCCATTGACTTATTTCGAAATAATTTCTTTCAGTTGAACGTTTTCTACGTTGCCTTCCAAGTCCTTATTTCCTTTATTTTGGTTCACAGTGAATTTGGCATCTTTGTTTGTCTTGCAGCATTTGCAGATACGTTTTATGGCGCGGGAAAAGTAAGAATTGTAGCCGGGACAGAAAGGAAGAAAGGCGAAACAATGGACCTTGTCTATTTGCCGTTGGAAACAAGCAGGTAAATTGTATATTTTCAATTCTTGACTCTCGACCGAAGAAGTTTGTTCACGCATTCTTTTCCAGTACAACATTCCTCGTTCTTCATCTGTACCTAATAATAATAAAAAATATAAAATTGACGATATAATAATATAAAATTGGCTTTGTTTCGCCAAACCTAAAAAGAGAAATTGTGACACTTTTAGAATCGACTTAAAACCCTGCCGGAAGAACCAGACAAAGGAAGGCTGGGGAAAATAAAACAAAGAAAATAAGTAATTGTAGAAATTTGTCGAAATAAAACTAAGACAATTACTTAAGCGGATGTAGGGAATTAGCCCACAATGAATACTATACATGCCTGGATGGGGAAGGTGGATCGATTAGGGAATCTGGAAGCGACTGCATTTCGAACATACAAACCAATGACATATGCAGAATACAAAAAGTCTTCTAGAGAATGAAGCACACACAATTCTCTGAGATTTTATGATTTCAAATGGATCACCCAATCTCTGTCAGAAAACCTGATCCAGAAGAAGGAAACAAGAATACAGAGTTAGATGGATAGTTGTGTTTTTTTTTTAATATACTACATTTCATCAGATATAAGGCTCAGTAGTAACTCATAGTAGAATGTTACTGAATGAGATGTGAACAAAAGAGAAGGTAGAAAGAAGGGAAGATCATGAAGATAAAGTGGATAGATAGCAAATAGCATTTGAATTAAAGAGGTTAGGATTGTCTAGGGAAGCAACTCCGTAGCAGTTTGTTACAAAAAGTACCAGTTTTCGATATAAAAGCTTACAAATGGAATACGGTGATATTATATGGCAAATTTGTGACTTAACCTCGTTTATATATATATATATATATATATATATATATGTATCTTTGTGTGTGTGTGTATTATCCATATTATATTGCGTTGACTTACTTATTTCTAAATAACATCTCCCTGTTGAACGTCTAAACTGCCTTCCAAGTCCTCATTTCCTTTATTTTTATTCACAGTGAATTTGTTATCTTTGTCTGTCTTGCAGCATTTGCAGATGCGTTTTATGGTGCGGTAAAAGTAAGAATTTTAGCCGGGACAGAAAGGCAGGAAGTTGAAACAATGGACCTTGTCTATTTGCCGTTGGAAACAAGCAGGTAAGTTGTATATTTTCAGTTTTTGGCTCTCGCCCGAAGAATTTTGTTCACATATTATATCCAGTACGACATTCCCGGTACCTTTCATCTGTTCTTTTAATAAAAAATTAAAAAAAAGACGACGATATAATATGGACGGGTCAGGTAAGCCTTGAGGGAGAAATTGAGTCATTCTTAAAATTGACTTAAAACACTCCGGGAGGAACCAGATATAAAAAGGATGGGAAAGATAAAATACACAAAATAATTAAATGTAGATTATGTGGAAATAAATATAAAACAATCAATTAATAAGCGAATGTAACGAATTAGTCCTGAATAAATACAAGACTATACCTGTCTAGACGAAGAAGGTGATCTACAGGAAACGTTCAATAGCTATTCATACTAGAATGTTGTGTGATATGAATGTAAGAGGCCCCGACTTAAAGAGTCGAGGAAAAAGTCGAGAACCTGGAATCATGAGACCATCCAAACAGCCCCGAATACCAAGGAAAATGGTGACGTGATGACATTAGCTCTTACATAATTTCTCAGTACACTGAAAAATTATGTAATATTACTAATGTGAACGATCAGTGATTGACAAATAACACGAGCAGTATTCATTGTACATATACATATGACTAGTATACACAATAAGGTAATCGAAGTCTTAAAAATAATATGATTTTAAAATATCATATGATGTTTTCACCAATCTTTATAAATGTATTTCGAAGAGTTCTGAAAAGCCTCGAGAGAATCGGAGGAAGTCTTTGTTCGATTCTACTAGTAAAAAAACTCTGTTAAATCATGAATTCCAACTGATATATGCTATTTTAGTTCCCAGTTTCGTTGTAGTTCCTCATTTCTCGAAAAATTCCGCATTGTTCTTAAGTTCATGGTATTCTTAGCATTCATCGGTAGAACCATATCTATGTCGCTTCAAGTCTTCTTTGAATCTGTGAGGAAATTATCTCAGACATATAAGAGATGAGATATTACGTTGAAGTTTATTATTCTTTTCTTTGTTTCTAAGGATATCTTCATATGACTTTTGTACATTGCTTAAATTCTAAAAGCTAACTTTTTCTATTACTATACGCGTTCAGTATTTTGAATATAAAAAAAAATTCTAATCAAACAAAAACCTGTCAAAGATAACTGAAGTGAAAATCACTTTTTTCTTTATTTTTTAGGACATTTTTCTATGATTTTATATCCTGCTTAGTTTCTGAAAGATAACTTCCGATATTCTCACACACGTTCACTATTCTGAATACCAAAAATAGCTGTTCCTGTTTTAATCAGTTATTATGCTTAAAGAGATACATGTCGAGTTTGGATTAACTTTGCTATAATTCGCAGATCAATTTCAAACATTAGTATTTGGGGAAATATAATGTGTCTTATACTTGAAATATATCTTCAGTCCTGAGATGTTAGATCTTTGGCAATGTGATTGTATCTGGCAGTGCGTTGACAAGGTAAAGATCCCTAAATTCTTCAACAAACACCTCTGTTGTTTCAAGTTTCTTCAGTTGTGAGGAAATTGTCAAGCATTCAATGCCATATATGAGAAATTTTCCTCTGACTTAATATTTTGTTTAATGATAGATTGTAGGTCGATTGTCCAGTATTCACTGATATGTATAGGAGATCAGATATTAGATAGCAGCTCAGCATTGTTTCCTTTTTTCTAAGTGCATATTCCTTTGCTGTAGCATTCACGAAATGATGAGTTTTTATTATCTTACGTACATAAAACATAAAGGAAATTAGGACCACTGACTCGGGAAACATAGCGTGTCTTATACTTGAAATATACGCTCAGTTAGATGTTAGAGATGTTAGGTTATTTGACAATATAAGTGATAATGTACCTGGCAGTGTGTTGTCAAGGAAAAGACCCAAACATCCTCCAACCAACATGTTTGTTCCTACCAGTACGCCAAGGATCTGGTCAAATTCGGAACTTCCTAAAATAAATAAATTGAATAACAAACAGAAACTATAGAAATCACTTTCAGTCATTTTGTATTGATAATGAGTTAAACATTCAGACAACTGACAGAGAGCAGTTTCGTATTGGAAAAAAATATTGCCCCAGTTGACAACAAATTTTAGGTTATTTTTTAGAAACCTATCAATTTGACGTTATCGAACCTATTAGACAGGAGTAAACAGATGCGTCATCAGCATAGATAACAACTTAAGAACTGATGACATCAGGGACGCCATTGATGAAAACTAGGAAAAAATTCCAGGGATTGAGCCATGATAAACACACGCATTAATGCAATCAGATTTAGAAGAGTGGCCGCTCAAGATAACTTTAATTTCGCGATTTGATAACATTGATTCAAATCAAAAATTCGTTCAGAAATGCCATAAAGCTTTCAACTTGTGAAGAAGACCAGTATGCTAAACCCTGTTCAGTTACTTCGAGATATCCAAAGCAACAGCTCGATCTTCACCATTCTTATCTAAAGCTTGATAGTCATTTTTAGCAATAACCGTTAACGCATCAGCAGTTGACCTAGAGAAGCGAAAGCCATATTGCTTATATCAAAGAAGATCCTGCGAGGTGAGATGCTTAACCAATTCAGAGTTGATTAAAGCCTCTTGTATTTTGCCAAAAAGAAGTAGAAGGCTGATAGTCAGGATCAGATAGTTCGTCTTAAAGACTGGAACTACAGAAGAGATATTCCAGCAAGAAGCAGCAAATCATTTATTATAGAAAGCAGGATCCAGTTTAGAAGCTGATTTCTTAAGCAATATTGCAGGGATATCATCAAGTCTAGAAGTTTTGACAATAATTCTCTCTTCTTATTGCTTCTTTTGAAAAACGGATATGTTTAATATAGCTCTTTGATTAACATATAAACCATTTCAATTTGATTGAAGAATGAAAAGAAATTACAATTCAAATAAGTTTACTTTATATTCAAGTTTTCTGACTTACCGGTATTTATCATTCCAGGATTCTTTTGTATCCACATTGGTAAAGCCAAGCCGAGAAGGAGAGAAGTACCAATTATGAAGAGGTTTCGAGAAGAATCCAGAGAGACATCCCTGAGGTTAGAAATTCCAATAGAAGAAACCATTCCTATCACAAGAATGAAAAAAATAAAAATTCTGAATTTGAAGAAAGGAAAAATCTAAACTTAACTTAAGTTCACAGTCGCGCGAGAAGCTAAATTCACATGCGGGACGTAATAACCTCTCTGCAATAGACATGTAAATTCTGTTGAACATAATTATAAACTGACAAATCTTACTAAGTAACAATATAAAGTTAAAATTGAAATGAAATGTAATGTAACAATTCAAAGAATATAGCTTTGGAGTCACTGAATCTTACAAGTCAGTTTTCCCCATTGTGCTATTAGAGCAAGATTGGAGGAGAAATCTGGTATCAGGTTCAAATGATCTAGATTATTAGATGAGTTCCATTTTGAATTTCCCGCCCAATTCAAGTTATTATATCTGCTGTTAACGCCATACATAAGTTTCTAAAGAATTAATGGATTTATTTTTAATCCGATATTTTTTTTGTTTGAAATTCTATTTTAATGGAAATCCTTATTTGAGTAGACGTCATATTTTTAAACATTGTATTACGTCTACCAGACTGTGCACTCATGAAAATAATAAAAAAAAAATAGTGTTCTCTGAGAGGGATTGAAACTGTGCCCCTCTTTGGAGGAGAAACCGCCTTTATATCCAGCGTAGAGATGATAAAGAATGAGGGCTGCTGAGAGATTTCGCGGCACAATTTTTACCAATTCTCTATTAACAGTTGTCGCGAAAAAATGTGACAGTCTCTACACATGCCTTCCCCATTCTGATGAAATCATAAGAAATCATTGAAACTACCATTTTCACGCAATCATACGCTCTTATGTCCTTGGCAAAGGCAGGAATCCACTTCTCCCTTACCTATGGGGAAATAGAAAGACATTTGGCGTCGTTTATCTTAGTACAAGCCATCCATCCTAATAGGTCTTCGATCCTGGTATTATGTAATCCAATAAAACTTTTACGTTACTTTGAAAGGAAACTGGTATCACCAAGTGAACGCTTTTGTTTGAGAGATGGGAAATTTCACAGTATGGCACCTCAACATTCTATTGAGTCATGGAAAACGTTCATATACATATATTCTAACCTTTTTAATTTTTTCATAAATCTTTTAACTAAGTACTGATATTCAAATCATTTAATGAGTGCGTTCGTTTTGACTGTCTAGATTTTATTCTTCAATTAATCACAACATACTATGTTTACCAATGTGTGGCACAAGGCTACTTTAAAGATGTCCTTTATCATAAGATGTTTATGCAAATAAAATAAAATAGCGACAACAAAGAGAGTGAAAACGTTCTATTGTTCATCTCCGACAGCATCTTAGTCACTCAGTTGCATTAAAAAAATGTTACTTACCAAACATGACGAAAAACATTCCACCAACCACAGGCTGAGGAATTGTGACAAAGAGAGAACCGAATTTACCCAAGCATCCAAGTAGTATCATCACGAAAGCACCAACTTGGATCACTCTTCGACTTGCAATCTGGACACGTACAAATGTGAAATGGTAAAAAAAACGCTTATAGCACAAATTTTATTTATTATATAATTGCAGAAAAACTGATTACAAAAAAATTAATTGCCTTAAAAATATTAAGTTTTGTGACATACCTTGGTGATGCCAATGGCACCGATATTTTCGCTGTAGGATGTGTTGCCACTTGAAGCTCCCCAGGCACCGGCCAAAAAACAAGTAATACCTTCCATTCCAATTCCTATAAAAAGAAAAATCATATCGTTATTTGAGTGTATTTAAATAAAATTAGTGATTTGAAGAGGTGTTGTGCTAATTTTGTGTATTAGGAGGTTTAATCAACTTTGTAAAATTAGCATTCGATATTTGGCTTTTATCTTCAACTGAACACAGACAAATGGAATAGATAAGAAACATGCAGCTACTTCAACCATTACATTAGGAGAAATCTGATTTCTAAGTAAAATTTCTTAAAACCCAGAAAGAGCTAAGAGAGTTTAAATCTTGATGGCATCAGTAAATATTACATTTTCAAATTGCTCATCAGAAAGTCACTAAAACAAAAAAAATTCCATCAGCTGTCATCTTGATCGAGGTAGTATTACTGACAGGAGAAAATTGATGCGCAAAATAGTCTATCCTTTTATATTGACTTGTCCAGTTAAGGTCTTGTTGTTGCCATTTTTATTTTATTTTTTGAGTTATGATTTAATTTTTTCAAAATATACAAATATGAATAAAAATGCTGCTTAATTCTTTCCGTATTTAATGTTAGAATGAATAAACAAAACAAATGTTCTTTTTGTTTATTCATTCTAACATTAAGTGCGGAAGTCAAAAAAGTATAAATAGCAATAATTTTGAAATCAAAATCATGTCAAATAACATAAAAATTAAATGCTATGAATACGAAGTAACAAAATCAGAATTTTTAGTTAACTCAGTGTCTATGTGTGCCAATATACATATATACAGACACACGCATATATATATATATATATATATATATATATATATATATATTATTAATTTAAACGTTATATTTAGTGAACACACGTGTTTGAGTAGACGTCTCTGTCTTTAAACAGTGTAAATTTACGACCTGTACATTCGTAGTTGCTGTCACTATTAATTGTAGACGTCTATTTTGCCAATTTAAAATCAGTTTGGCTTACTGTCCCGTGCAAATCATATGATCGTTAATCGTACCTCTGTTGATGGCAGGAACAGGTGGAGGTGGTGCATCAGCCATTCTTGCGCATGCGTAATAATCTCCGACTGATTCAATAATGGAAGCGAACACACCTGCAAAAATACCCAGTACGCCTGCTGTGCTGACGTTTGGAACCCCCCACTGACCTTTAAAAAAGAAAAAGAAAAAAAATATTCATAGAAATTTATAGAACAGGTATTTACAATCTGTCACACAGACACAAGCACACTCGCCGCATTTGCAGAGCTAGCCACAACAAAATTTTCAAATAAGTAAAGTTGAAGGAATCACGATTTCAGGATTTCTCAGAATGTATCCGGGGATCCCATCAGACTTTGTCGATTGAAAAGTTTTCAATCGTTTGGCTTATGGGACGCTTGTCACACTCAGCTCTATTTAAATATATATAGGAAATTAAAAACAAAACCTAATATACACTAAATATATCATAGAAAATGAGGAAAAAGCATCGGCCAACAACAATAATTCCCCAAACTGTGAACTCTGTAATTTATAATAATAATAAATAATGAGTTAAAAGTTAACAATCAACATTATAATTGCTGCAAATAACCGCATTCAGATCCACAATTATTTCCACCCAATAGCATTTAGAATAATTTCAAATATAACCGTCTACGCAAGAACATTTCGGAAAATGCAATGAACCGGAAATAACTGACCATACTACCCATAATTTTACATTCACCAATATATATAAATAGTCGAACTAAAACACATAGCCTGAAGATTGCGCTCAAGCATGAAACAGACTACCATCTGTCAGTGTTGACCTTGGTGTTCATTTTTATATTTATATGTACATACGCTTTATCCCTGAGCACTTGTACCAATGAATATAGCATACATTAAAAGTATGCTTTTATCATATAACGAAATGAAATTTTTAATCCGACATATTTTATTACTTCTAACATTATTTTTAGTGGACATATTTGAGTAGACACACTGTTTATATATACAGTGTTTACTTCAACCAACCTGTCGGCTAACTCGGGAACGCTTAATAAAGGAAATGCATACTGTGGCAGGATTCGAACTTGCGTCTTTCTTTGCAGGAGGAATAGAACCATGCTTTTTAAGGCTAAAAGAAACTTGCTTGATTGTGAAGCTCTTCGTAACTGACGCTACAACAGATCAGACGGGGATTTCCCCTGCAAAGTGGGGAGCGGGTTCGAATCCTACCGGAGGTTAAATTTTCTTTATTGCCTCGAGTACTCAGGTTAGTAGACTAGATAAACACTGTTTAAATAAACCGAGCTTCTACTTAAATATGGGTATATTTCTAAAAATAACGCTTGAAGTGTGCGTGTGTCACGTGTATAATGAAGTAATGTGTCCAATCACAACTATTGAAATAAACATAACACAATATTAGGTTTGTGCAAACTTTTCAAGTAGTGTATTCAATCTCGTTTTTCTTGCAAAAATAGTGCTGATAACTTTTACACACGTCTAAGAAATCGGGTCGTTTGTCGTTTATTTTTCAAACAAGACGATGAACAATCACAGATGCAAATTGGAAGTCAAATAATATTCTTTTATTTTCGTCTTTCTTTTTCAAGACGTTGTTCTTAAATGTGAGCCTTCTTTTTAAAATAACAACACGGTTGCGTGAAATAACTAATGATGCAGTTTAGAAAAAACGGTTGTAAATCTATTGTACTTAGAAGCCGCTAAATATAATACCGCCTACTAATCCTCGATTAATAGCAAGAAATTAAACAAAATTCTTATACAAAGAATATAAGAATGATAATTTTATTAACAGATATAAAACTGTTTAGCTATTCTTAAAGTCAGCATGTGTAATAAACGTACATTTCATGGCCATTCATCTTGGTCGGGATGAGATCTTTTCAATACTCACTTCGAAGAATCTTGGATGCTCGTTTCATTTTAGGATAGAGCCAAATTAAGTGAATACACAGTGAGGATCGAATTCATAACACTAACAATGGTTTGTGAGAGATGCATTACGGCCATCACTCGACAGTAGGCGCCCTCTTGTTATTTCTCTTCTTTTTTATATATTTTAAACTTAGTTTAGGTTTGTCTGATCTAGAGCCACAATACTAGATTTGTAGTGAGTATAAAACACTACAGAAGCGAATGACTTGTCAGATTAAGCAGTGTTCTACAGTAGGCACCACTCTCATGAAGCAAGAAAGCGGGAGAAGGAAGCAGGAAAGCAATTAAAAACTCTTGACTTTTGATATAGGATTCAATTTTTATTTCTCTCTACTAAAATATAAAGGCCTTACCTGGATATGGAAAACGAAACCATGCTGATTTATAAAGTACATCAGTGTAAAGATCCGTTCGGGCTGCGTGGCCCCATTTGCCTTTCTCTTTGGGGAAAACGTCTGTGATTGTGAGAATGTAACAGAGTATCCAGGATATGAAAATGGCAAATAATACCTGCAAATAAGAAAATAAGAATTTCCCAGTGATTTTGGAATAAGATTTTTAAAAATGTGCAGAGTTTGCCATATATAGAAGATTTGGAACACCTTACTGTTCGGGCGCTATAAAAATTATTCAAAGATTCCATTAAAACTATCCTCAATTCAGGGCAGAGGAGAGGAGAAAGAGTTGTCCAGCCACCAATTTCGCTCGTAATCCTGCTATAAGTCGCAAAGATAATTTCTAGTGAGTCTGCAGAAGACGTTGGAAATATTTATGGTAATAATGTTAATAAAAATGAACGTTTTTGAAATTTATTGATTCACTATTGAAAATCCAATAAAAGTACGAATTTAACAGAATATCACTTTCAATATGTCGGCATTTTTGACCACAAGGCGATAATTTAATAAATAAAACTTATCCATATTTAATAAAAATTTGTCATTAAATCAACTTTTTTGTTTCACAGAATCGCCGAATTGACAAGTACAAAACTGACCCACTTATTATCATTCATGGGAAAAGAGATGTAACATAGCCTTTTATTCTTTTTCTTTGTTGGTCTAGCTGACCCTATATTTGTAGAGGGCCATTCCAACCAAATGGAATGATCTGAATTGGGAGAAATTATCTTGACTTCCCACTGAACCTGACAGTTTAACTTCAATTAACACAGTCATGAGCACAGCACAGCCTGTTATCCCCGGTGATGAAATGTTTTGACGCCAAATCGACTGCCAGTTAAATTAAGATCGATATTTATTTTAACGCTTCATATTTGATGAAAGAAAAAAAAATGATCAACGTTTTTTGCTATTTTATCTTTTATAAAAGTCAATAGATAAATTAAGAAAATATATCTGTTTGTGAAAAGTGAATGTTACTTACAGGAAACATTTTAAATAAGGAAAGAGATGTCTTTGTGCATCCACTGTCTTTCTTGTAAATGAAACAGGGTATGTCAATATTTTTCATATATTGTGAAAATATACAGATCAGTGCCATCGTCCTGTTAAAAAAAGTAAAAAAGAAAAACAGATCAGATATTACTTTGTGCGCGTCGCATTTGTTTTTGAGGTTGAACCGAAAGCAATTGAACAATTTTCGGTGAATATCTCTTCCAACTCAGTCATGTTTGATTTTGTACTCTTTCTAGTGGAACCTAGTACAGGAATGTATGCTGCAAAAGATACGTCTTTTCTCTTCAGTGTTTTCTACAGAAGGATACTGAATATTCCATGGACAGAGCGAGTAATCAATTATGCAGTCTTAAAGAAGATGGCAACAGAAAGTAATAGAGGACAAATCAGATTTTACATTGTTTTTAAGGTCGAACCAAAGACAATTGCACAATTTCCAGTGAATATCTCTTCCACTCCAGTCATATTTGCTTTTGTACTCATTCAGGACCAGTTTATTACATTCAGTGACTTGGTATCTGTCTATATTTCTGAGATGAGATATTATGTACACTATTTACATTATTCGGACTATTGTCGCCATATTTATTACAACGTTTCGGCCGTTGTATCATTTCAATAAAATGGAAAATATTGCATCAGATCAAATGGAAACTAATCTAATCAATGGTACTTCATGACCACAAATACTGCAATGGAGGATGTGCCTTTTCGAACTCTTTAATTAATCTAATCAATAAATCTAAAACTGTAGACTTAATTATGCAGACCAAATATTTTTCCTCCCCACCCACTGTAATAGCAGAAGCAACATACAAACATGCACATATACGAAAGGTATTGTTGGTTTGGTAAATATATGTTTGGTAGATTAGTAATGTCTGGCCGTTGGTACAGATAATTAACTAAAAATTTCTAGTGGAAAATAATGATGTCTCGAAAGAAAGAAGAGGAACGTAAGTAAAGATTCTTTTTAGAATAGATTAAAATATAAAAATTTGTTGCATACTTTCTCTCTGACGTTATAAAAGGAAAGCTAGTAGATATTGCAAAAGGCTGTCTTTACTCCCAAGCCAGGCATGTCATCTTTCAAAAGATGCATTCTTTCTCACCAGTGTCTATGACCATTGTTCTGCATAAACGAGCATCTCCTAATTGGGTGCTATGGTCCAGATGACCAGCCAAGCGCAGTGCATACTAATTTGAGAAAAAGAGAAGTGTTTTTTTGACTTCATCTATTCCGCTACCTTTTTGACGCTACTGAGCATTATTTTACTCTAAAGACTGGAAGTCAGCAATATTATTGTTGACTATATATATATATATATATATATATATATATATCAGACACCCAAATTTTTGGTGAGATATCAGTGTCGTATATAAATACTAATTTGTAACTTACAGCAAAGCAATGTACCATTGACCGGCAGAATAGTTAGTTGCGACTTCGAACAGCGCAAGTCCAATCAAAGTGATTGTAGGCATAATGGTAAGAGGACCAACAAAAGATAAAAACACTTCCATTAACCCACTGAAGCCGATGAAGATCTGGATCAGGCTGCCGACCATCAGACAACCCTGGAACTGGAAACAAGACAGAAAATACAATTTAAACAACAATTTAGACAATATCTTGGATCCCGATGTCAACTGAATACACACACATTCACTGACAATGTCGTCGATCAGGTGTCACCAACGTTTTGGTGTGCCCGGGCCAGACAGCTATGCAGTGTCTCGGAGGAGGATCACGATGTATTGCCTCACCCTCAGATACCCATTATTTAAGCAATGTTCCTTATTTTACTTCAGTAATAACAGAACTAACACAATTAATAGGGAATGCAAATCCCTTACTACAAACGAAATAAAACTGAAATGGCAAAATATTTAATGAGGCACCTGTTTGATAATTTCAGTTGAAATATTTGTCGATGACAGGCGAAAATCGTCCTGGTGGTCATCACCCAACTTTGTTTTTAAATGACTTTTAGTATATTTCATTAAAAAAATTGTTCACAAACATATACTTCCAAATAATGATACTATCATTTTCTCATTATTCAATAGGCTTTTATATTTTCCGCTTGGCAAAACATTTCTTCTAGAAGTCAGTAGTGAATTTAGAATGAAAGTTTGATTTAAAAAATTGTCGCGTTTTAAGTTCATTAAATCCAACTCATATTTTTCTTTCACTTTTTTCACATCTTTTTCGTAAGAAGTACCAAATAATTTAAATTCCATATTGCCGGAAGGTATCGAAATGGGAGGAAAACTTCTCAAATCCTGAATAGAGCTCACAATCATGTCTGGTATTACATCTCTCTTGTGATTTTGGAGATTTACAAAATCAGAGTTGTTTCCTTTCTGAAGTTTTGATTCCCATAGTCGAAGTTCTCTTTTAAAAACAGTAATTTGACCAAGCATCTCAAATATAAGCTTGTTTTTTCCTTGAATCTCAAGATTCAAATGTGGATTTGGATGTCCACTAAAATGTCTTGACATCCACTGAAACGAAGAATTTGCTCACCATAAACAAAGCAATCTCTTCTCGCAATACATATAATCGTTCCAGTATTTTTAAGCCATCAAACAATTGAAAAATATGTAAGGTCCCATATTTAGCTTCAATTTATTTTAGAAATTATTGAAATTGGCGATAATTTAATCCTCTTGACAGTATAAAATTCACCGTTTTCACAATCACTGTCATGATGTTCTTAAAATTCAGTGAAATTGCATATAATGCATCCTGATGGATAATGCAATGAAGTTTGATTAGTTTGTGATACCAATGACTAACGCAACAAAACACTTTTTCTCTCCGATCATCACTGGTACTCCATCTGTAGTTGCTCCAATAAGTTTTGATGAATCAAGATTCGTTTCGGTTATCCATTTTATCACGCTTTCAAAAATATCTGCTCCTGTACTGGCGTTCTTCATAGAAATTAATTGTACAAACCCTTGCAGAATATCAAATGTTCGAGTTACAATCACTGCAAGTTGAGAAGTATCTATCATATCTGTGCTTTCATTGATAGCTATGGAATAATATTCCAACTTCTAAAAAATGTCCTCCAGAGTAATTCTGCATTTTTGCCACTTGTACAATTCGCATTGTTACTGTTTTTGCCGATCGTAGTAAAGAATTCTCTTTTTCTGAATAAACAACACCTACTGCCTTCAGCATGCAATTCTTTGAAGAACTATCCATTATTAAAAGGTTTCATCCCCTCTTCATTTTGTTTTAACACCTCGTAGCTAGCACGAGTGTTTCTGTTAATTTCTTCAAATTTTCTAATAAAAAAAAACGATGACTGCTTTGTTAAATCCTTTCTCAGTCGTGCAACTTTGTCTTCTTGTGCCTTACTCATCAATTTGTTATGACGAGTTTCATAGTGCCGTTTAATATTTTAAACTTTCTTCATAGCAATACTTTTTCACAAAATAAGACAAACATATTTTCCGAAGTGCTCAATGAAAAATAGCTAACAGTCCAGCCTTTGTCAAAATTTCAACACTCAAAATCCACTTTTCTTTTTTTCGTTTTCATGGGATAGGTTTTTTTTATTTTTTTATTTTTTAGACAAGAAAAGACTTCTAGAAAGGAAAGAAAAAACAAGGGCCCGTTAATTGTGTTATGGTTAAGTTGGCGGGCCGTACAAAAATCCTTTGCGGGCCGAATGTTGCCCGGTTTCTGACCCCTGATGTAGATGATAGTAATTCGTGTGTACATGAGTACAGCCGAAGGAAAAATATCTATCTCAGGAAAACGTACTCAGTTGCTATCAACATAAAAACCAAACGTCACTTGTTAAGCAATAAAAATTATCTTTAAAACGCCCAACCTCATTACCTCTATATAATTTTTCCACAGATTAGTTTACAAGATCACAAAAACAATATTTGGTGATTTTTTATCCTATGACAGAAAACGGCCAATATAATATTTACTGGACTTAAAATAGAAAAAAAAATTAGTATATTTCTTAAGTTTAGTAAAAAATGACACTGACATTGTTTAGTAGTAAGCGTAAGAGTTATAGTTGAGAGATAACCGGTAAAGATCAAATTCATAAAAATCACCCAGGGATTTATGAGTTGTTTTTATTTACGAAGACTAGCATAGAACAGAATATACAGGTAGCGTAACAGATAACCTAACGGAAAGTGGAATCGGCGAACCAGGTTCAAATTCTGATCTAGTTTTCTGTGTTAACATTCGCACTAGTGCACTTGGGAAGGGCATGAATCCATACCTTCTCGTCCCAGATATGTATCAGATAGCAAGGTAGACTGGTCTCTCTAGCATGGAATAGTAGCCAGTCGAAAAAGAAAGCTTATTCTGAATTTAGAGTGCTGTAGGTTACGGAAAATACACCACTATCTTTCCCAAAATATAATGATGGTATCTGTGGAGAATAATTGCAAAAAGAAAACCCACGAAAACAAAGGCCTTTACGTATTTAATAGCTTATGAATGAAAACGAAGCCTTTTTTTTTATTATTTTGTTCTTATTTACATCACCATCAGAACGTTATAAATGAATAATCGATATTTTCTGCTTTGGTATATGTGTCAAGATAACAGGAAAATCCACACACTCTACTTCCTGTCATATAATATGCACCAATAATTTAGTAAAAATATTTGTAAAAAATATACTAAAAGAAAAACAACTGTTGCTGAATCCTCATTTTAATATTGAATAATATTCAAATGAGAATTCGGCTACACTTAGTTGTCTTCTCTTAATGTCTTATTAGTTGGATTTGTAATCAAAATTTAATAACCATATATTTCATTGTGAAGTCATCAACAAATCAGTCAGTCTCATGTAACAAACAGCCATGTCTCACTGATTAAAAGGCATGTGATTTGGGGAGTTTTCTTTTTCTTCAGTCTGCCGGATAAAAGGTTTGTAATGGTAAAAATCTTAATTTGGGTACTTGGTTGACAAACTGACTTAGGCTCGAGTGATTAGCCTAAGATAAAGAATGAGGGAATGTAATGCAAAATATATCGTCGCTATATGTTTTTTGCCTATAAACATTAACCATCAGCATAAATATTTCATCGCCTTCTGTGATTCCTTTCAGAAAGACCCGCATTTTTTTTTGTCTTAACAGTAACCTCTGGGCCATCTAAAGTGATTTCCATTAAATGCGTGTCTTGTTTTCACTGTATTTATCGATGATGTGAAAAAGAACACTTCCATTAGTCCTTTCATGAAAATCTTACAACTTACTGAAACTTGATCCACCTATAATTTCTATGACAGATTGCGTTTTGTGCCAATGTACCAGCTGGAAATAAACGATTAATTTTAAAACAGTCTTCTCGTCATTTTTAGCTTGATCGTCAACACAATATAATACGACTGAGAATTTGGGACCCTCAGCCAACTGATAATCACCAATCTTGTATTTGGTGCTCATAGACAAGGATACACTTCTTAGCAATTATTTCCAATTATCCTCTTGTCTAATATTGGTAACTGATATCCATATTATGCTTATACTTAAGGAATCCACGTTTCATCGTTGTTAAAAAAATATACGAACAGGCTTTTTCATTTATATTTCTGGTAAGAATAAAATTACCTCTCGGAGACGAAGTTGCCATATTTCACGGTGACCATCGCTGCCAACATCTGGCAGAGTGTTATTCACAGAAAGATCTGAAATATATCAAATATATCAATATATCAGGATTTAACATTCACACACACACACACATATGGAATAATAAAATAATATAATTTAATATATATATATATATATATATATATATATATATATTTTTTTTAAAAAGAAGAGAGAAGCCGCAAACGTTTTTGTTTGTAATGTGGATTTTTTAAAAATATATATTATGCTTTATTTTCCATAATTTTTCTACACGTGTTTCCGGTCTCGCGACGTTCATCAGGCAAAGCGTGGAGATTTCCACATATTATTAAAAATAATTAATTTTTTTCTTTGTTAAATATTCTCGATATGAGACATTCTCTTTTTGTGTGTTAGTGACCAAAATGTCTTCCTGAATTGGCAGTGAAAAGTTTCTCGTGAAGGCTTATAAAACAATTAAGAGTGGTCTAAGAAATGGTGGAGGAGTTATCGGCATTCTTATCTTTTAATGACCCCTGTGTGATCTTAGATCTATTTCTATTTTCTTATGTTTTTCTCAGCGTGATTATAATAAACACTAGTAATAAATTTGTTGTCTTTACGTTCAACCAAAACATCTAGAAAATGAAGCGAATTATTCACTTCAACCTCCATCGTGAATACCAAGGATGTATGTAAAGAATTTAACTGTTGGCGAAAAAGAGTTGCCTTGTTGATGTTATCAGGCATAAAAAAAGTGTCATCAACATAACGTAAATATATCTACGGCTTCTGACATTTCTAAAAAAAAAAAAAAAACAAGCTCTCGTAATATCCAATAAAAATGTTTTCTAAAGAAAGACCCAAAGGGCTACTCATGGAGACCCCATCAATCTAGAAATTCGAAACTAAATTCCACCCCTTCCGTTGCTAGATAGATAAATTCTAAGAATAAGGGTTCAGGAATGGAAACAGGACCCAAGCAACCTCTATAAATCTGTAGAAATCTGTACAGTTTCTTGAAGGGGGACATTTGTATCTAGACTTACGATATCAAAGGAAACTAATTAAAGCGGTTGAAGCAACTTCGCCAACCATTTGGCTAGCTCATGCAGTGCCGAACATGTTATAGAAAGCATCGGTCTTAAGGACACATCAGGAACCTTAGGTAAGTCTTATAAACGATGTCGCTGAGAGCCTACAGGTCTAATTCGGTTACAAGTTTCTTTGCATAAAAGGTTACTTTTATATATATTATAACTTTTTTTGGAGTTTGATTTTAAATTTATCAGTACGATCATTAGTATCGAAAAAACCGATCACTCGAAACTTAGAAGTATCACCTAAAATGACATTCATTTTATTGGTGCAATCATGTTTGTTTAAAATTACTACACCAGCACCTTTGTTAAGTTTTGTAATGTAAATGACATTACGGGATTTTAACAACCTTATAGTCTGAAAATAAGCACAACCCCACGCAAGTTAATCCCGATCAATTGATAGGGAAGCAAACTCACATGCTAAATCTGAAAGTTTAGACTTACAAAAAGTAATATGGTCTAAAGAGGAGGGAATATGATGAAGTAATTGCGAATACATTATTTCGAATTTAGCAAATACTTGCTCTTTATTAACATTTCGAAAGGGAATACAAAAATCTAACCCTCTAGGCAAAAAAAGTTTTTCCATTTCGGAGAGATTAATACTCGACAGATTAAATATATGTTTGTCTAATGCCGCATTCTCAAAACTAAATCGTTTTGAAATCAGTTGATCAATATAATTTTAATCTTTAGCATTGGAATGTTTTTCGAATTTTATTCCTTCGGTCACTCCAGTTATTTGGTTATTTGGCAGATCGTAAGTATCTATATTTACTTATTTTACGCTCACGTTGGAGTATTTATGTCTTATCCTGAATCTACGTATATTTTAATCGAGAATTTATTTTTTAAACGTGGTCCAAATTTTCCTTCATATTTCATACATTCTCACGTCAATTTAGATATAATAATTTTGACAACATTGGTCCATGATGAAGTGTTGGCCGAAAGGTGCCGAGGCTCCATACAAAAAATGAGCACTAAATCGTATCTCTTCAAATCAATTTATCCATTCTGTGACATCAAATCGTTATATATATATATATATATATATATATATATATATATATATATATTTGAAATTGTGTAATTTTATTAACATTATGATTATATGTAGTATTATTCCCTCTTTCTCCAGTAGCTGTATTTAATGAATTTTCTAACTGTTCATTCCTTTTGGTCACCAATGTGATAAGGGTAGTCTTTGCTTGATTTTCTTCGAATAGGATATATCTGAACTTAGTATAAGTTAAAACCTAATAGTTAATATCATACTGTCAGTTCCTTAACTCTACCCTCACGCATATGTTCAGAACTATTCTTACATTTCACCCTACCACTCTTACTCCGATCTTTTACTTCATTTCCTGGTTAAAGGAATGGTGGGATGTCACGACATCATCAGCGAAAATGAAACTCAAAATTAATTGCTAATTCGTAAGGTAGCTGCGACTACGTACACTGGAATCAAATTAAAACTGAGTAAAAAAAAAATAAATAAATTGTAGTCAGTTCTAAATTTTACGTAATGACACGGAAGTTATATGGCGAAAAAGCACCTACAACCCAAGACAGGATAGACAGTGTGAATAGAATGGTCTTGTAAGAAGGTTTACAGAGCATTATACAATCAGCGCGTTGTTGCGTCTTTGGGCAGAGTGCTCTCTGGAGCGACTCTGTCAAAGGACAGAGTCGAAACTGAGGAAAATTATACTGAGAGGTGCCTGGGGAATAGCTGCCCGAGGCCGCGCCTTCTCATTACACTAGAGAGGAGGATCGGTGCATGCACCGAGGCCAGCGCAACCGACGGTTACGGGGGCTCGGGAAATTTTTGTCCCTTACCCGGGTGCACGCGCTCGGGCTCCCCATATTAAACTGACCTTGTGTCACAACCTGACCGCGTGAGGGGGATGAGTAAATATTTAAAATCATCCTGTTAAAATTAACTGTTAATTGAAACTATACATTTGAACCTACTAATCTTGTTGATTATTTTTCTTGTGAGGTATATAGTTTTTAAACTGAAAAATGTGTAATTGTTTTGGTTGTAACTTATTTAATTCGTTATTATTCGCTGAGAAAAAAGGATAGGGGCAAAAAATATAGCTCATGTTCAGTTTTCTCTTTTGTCGTTCGTGGCAAGACAATAAAACTATTAAGACGAAAGGGGCTACTGAGTATTAGTGAATATGAGAAAAATACTATTCAAGAGCGAAAATATTAAAAGAACAAGAATTAAGAAGACAGGAGATAACGATTAACTTTGCATTTAAATTGTTGAAGATCTAAGTAGACTGCAAAGCAAGAAGCCAGAAGAGAGTTCCACAAGCGTGAAATGCGATAAAAGAAGCTGTTAGCATAGAACTAACGGTTACATGTAGCCATTTCAACTGTAAAATCATGAGACCTTGACCCTAATCTAGTATCGTGCTTAAATTCATAACATCCATAGAGGAAAGTTCGTCCGAACAATTACCATGAAAATATTGATATAAAAGGTCGTTACACTGGTGGGAAAGTTACTGAAGGCGAGATGCCAGGTCAGGGACCATAACATTGCAGATTCTTCTTTGGATTTTTATCAAGGATCTCTAAATATATACCTGTGTTCATGCGTTTACGATATCTACTTTTCTTTAATCAATTTAAGTAGAATCGAGCATATGTTTCCTGGTATTTCTAAATTCATTTTCGTTTCTATAATCATTTTTTTCACACAGATAGGTAATTGCCAATGCTAGCTCTCATCCATGTATTTTTTCTTGTACTATAATATTAAATCAAATTTGGTTAGGGGATGCTGACGCAATCCCGAGCAACCAATGTTACCCCTCTTCTTCTAGTAGGTCTTTTAGTCCTCATATATGAATGAGCTTGTCTCGGTACCTGAGGTCTCAGAACGGTACGGCATTTCTGACTCAAAGAAATATTCTATTGCTTTGATTTATGTGTAGATGATACATTTCTAGATCTTCTTTCATGGATTATTTGTCCCCTCATTAAGGGTGCTGGAGGTAAATGCTTTCTGAGATTTAGCGTTATCCGCCTGATAGTAAGGGATTCGAAACTTTGAATAACATCGAAAGAGGCTATACTGTCAGCAGGTATATTATATAGGGACTATTATACTGACATTATGTGAATGGCTTATGAACCGACCAGTAGTTTCCACCTCCTATTATTTTGAAGGGTACTGTTACGACTGTATCTTCGAACAATTCAATTCAGGTTATTGGTGCCTGCATCTCCTGTCGGTGTGACTGTCTCACTACCTAGTCTTCTACCAAACACACTGTTACCTATACATGAACACAGCTAAATTAAACAAAAATATCAAAACCAACCCAACAGAAATAAAAGCAGACCTTAGGTTTACCATACCAATGTTAGGGGGCTTACGTTCCAAATTTCCGGAAGTGGAACATCTTCTTGAAGCCAAACCTGACCTCCTATATCTCTCTGAAACTGATATTGATAACATTATCCTACTGCAGAAGATTGCAATCCCAGGATACACGCCCTTAAAAGCTAAGCATAACCACCAAAATCAACATGGCCACGGACTCGGAGCCTATATTAAAGACGGACGAGAACTCTGATTCCGTGTAAGTGTGCTTCCGGTGGCATATTTTCACTCTTTATCTCTCTCGTGATGATAGAAATGTTATATTCTACCGAATATATGAGAAGATAATATTTTCGTCCGTCTAGCTATGCTAAAGCAGTCCAGGCTAAGGTTGAAGTTAAACAAATTGGATCCCGGAAGTTCTAGAAACTAGAAAAAAGCGCCAGTCTCTACTATTATAAATGGCCCGAGGTCATCTCATCCTCGTCAGATAAGGCGAAGCTCTTCGTCTCTAACCCAGCGTTAGATGGCAATGGCCACTCCCTTCCTGACTTCCCCCGTCTCACTGAGTACAATCTTCGCGACTGTGATTCTATCGAGACATCAACTACAGTTAGCTGAGTTAGTCTGTCTTTTTACAGGTTTCGTTTTTCACTCAACAAGAGAAGCATTCTCCCTGACCTATTTGAAGAATGGTGGTGAAACCGATTCAGTCATCAACGGAAACAAATCGTGCAACTGTTAAGAAAACCATATGTGTCAGAAGATACATGAAGGCGTGTCCGTTGATTTGCTTCCTTAGAGATTATGAGTGATTTTTTTAAATATAATTTATTATAGGTATCTGAATCTATTTCCCGTATAGTTGAAGCCTGGATAAAGGCGTTGTTTCTTTTTTCGGAAGGATATTTATGCCTTTTTACACACACGCAAAGAAAAGAGAACATAAATTGATACTTACCTCCTGTATAAGGGCATTGCCATTTTTTCAACGAAAATAACGTTATAGCAGGTGCAAGAAAACTAAAACTTGCACCTTGCATTATTGGAAGGCTAGAAAAATAGAACAAAAATACAAAATCAAAATATTACGACACAGGTCAGCACTGACAGGCATCAGTCTGTTTCATACCTGATTACAATCTTCAGGTCATGTGTGCTTAATGGGTAGCAAGGTCAGGTATTTGTGTTTGTTTTTTTTTTCTGTGACGTACGGCGGCCGTTAATAATTAAGTTAACTCAAGAATTCAATGTTAATAAAACAATATTTAATTACAACCCCAAATAAATACTGAACAAGACCAAAGAAGTATAAGTCAACCAAAGATAATTAACCATTTCAGTGAATACCTTGTTAGTTGCGCGGCTCGGCTTAACGTCAGTTAAATTCTAAATCAAAAACCAAATCATCGACGCACAATAATTCACACTAATTCGACTGGATAGTTCCACTTAATAGTCACTCAATAATCACTCCAGTCAGTAGCCTGACAACTCTATTTATAAACCTGGCGGAAACATATATTCATAAGTCCAGAGTGTCACGTTCGAACCTCGGTGTATGTAGTTACTCATTTTCTTCCTATATGACAATAGTATTATCCTAAAGGTTACTGAGTACACGGTAATGGTTATATTTTAAATTATTGCATGTAATGGAAATAACTGGGGATTCAAATATGGTTATTGCATAGTTTTGTTTGCTAACTTTTAACTCATTTATTGATTTCTGTCTATATCTCTGAGATGAGGTATTATGATTACTTACATTATTTACATTATTTGGACTGTTATCCGACTTTCCATATTCACAACTTCTTCAGGTGATTGGAATTTCGAAACGAAGCACTTATTTTCGTTATTTCGTTATTTCTAGTTCCACGTGCCATGTCTCAGATGGATGTCTCAATTATTTCACTTTAACTTAACTCCAACTTTGATTCACCACTGCTGTGGCCTGGTATTGAACTCACAACTATTTGGGTCAAATCACTGGATATAACCAAAGTCTTTTTTCCACTGGGCTATGTGTCAAAACGTTGTGCATATGACAATGAAGATGAGGATAACAGTCCGAATAATGTAAATAATGTAAATAATCATTATTGATTACTTAGTGTATTTTTATGTATTCATTAATTATTTGTTGTTGATTGTTATTATTACATTTACTTTTGTTTATGTGTTCATTCGTAGTTTATTAATTTGTTTATTATTTACTTAATTTGTTTAATGTTTGTTTATTTGTTATTTTTTTATTTTTCGAGGGTTGGTTATCTTTTTTGTTTAGTTTAAAGTATTGGCTTTGTCTAAAACAAGTTACATCATCTGCATTATATATAGTACATAGTTGCATTTTTCTTGGTGATGTTTTACAAATTTTTTGTTTTTAGTTTTCGATTTTTCAGTGACGTATTAAAACTGTTTTCGCGTCTGCATTTTCAGATTAGTTCTGGTCGTTTATTTAGTGTTAATCTGGTGAGAGAAAATAAATTCAAATTAAAATGGCACAGGCGGGAAAGAAAATCGTTAAATTTAAAACCCTAAGAAGGATCAGATAAGTATGATTTAACTGGACTTCTAGAAAACTATTCAGCAAAGAAAATCTTTCCTCGCACAAGTTCTCTTTCTTTCTTTCTCCTATACCCCACTTTAAGAACAAAATATCGGCATGAACACATCAAAAATACCCTTCCAAGCTTCAAAGTATTTTCAAACTCTTACTAGTCTTGTTTTTGAACACCACACATACATTTCTTTTCGTTCTCCATCTATTTTTCTAATGCATCAATAACTTTTCTCTTCATTTTCTTTTTAGCCTAAATTTCCAATTTAACTGATTTTTTTCCCATGCTTACCTTCTATTTTACAAATGGTAGTAACACTCATAAACACATGTAAGTAAGTGGGCGATTTCTATTTTTTTTTTTAATTTGTTTTGGGCCGTTAATACTTATATTTTGTGTGCAGAACTCGTAAAAATAAAGAAAGTTTTTGTTTACCCTTTAATATTGCAGAGTATCAGTAGCAGAAGTTTCTTTTTCTTTTTTTTTAATGTCATGAACATGTGTATGTGTTTAAGTAAATCTCGAACGTTTATTTCCTTTCTTTTTCTCTTTTTTTGTGTGAAAAAAAGTCGTTTTTGGTTGGCACTTAGTCGCTTTCTCTTTTTTTCTCTTTATGAGCCGTAAGCGTGTGTGCTTGTTGTTTTCTTTCCTTTTCCATCTTTTATGTGCATGGGTTTCTTTCTTTCTTTCTCCTTTTTCCTCTTTTTTTTTTATTCGAGGGTGGTTCTCTCTGATATGTGTTTCCCTTTCTTTTTAGTTTCTTCATTGCGTGGGCGTGTGTTCCTAACCATTAGATCATTTACGAAGCATTTTTTATTTCTTGTTTTTCCGGGTGCATTCTCATTAAAAAAAAACAATAAAAAAACAACCCTCTGCTTTCTTGGACTCTTAAATGTGCACTCTGTATCCATTTCCCTGAGCCGAAATAATCATTGGTCATGGCGTCTGCTTTCCACCGGCTGGCCAATGATTACACGCGTCGAATTCCGATTCCCCATCTCGTCGTTGCGCATCGGAAGCTTGGAAAGGGTCCTTTGTTGTTCACAAGGTAACACAATGAAAAACAAACACCACGTCTAAGAATAAGAACGCGAACTAATTTTCCTATTGTTATATTCCGCGCTAATAGGAATATATACTTGACAAATAGGGTGGATAAATTAAGTAAAGGTTTATTGTAAACGTAGAACAATAAGAAATAAGGTAACAGTTATGGGCACGATCATCGCAAGTCAATCCAGTAGTGAGTTCTACTATTGGAAGGTTGGTAGTTCTCGCGTAAGTCTGAGTCGTACTCAACATATCCTAGCTATACTCCCTGTAGTCCGTTGCCTTACGGATACTTATAGGTTATTACTACTTATAGTGTAGTCACTCATGGGGGTGACAGGTTATTCCATTACATCACTTATAAGAGATGTTTTATTCAGTGCTTCAAACGCTCGCCTGGGTGAGTAGGTAGGTGCTATTTTAGACAACTGCCATGTTAGTCTAAACGTTCATCACTTCATCTTACCAATCTCTCACCCATCTACTCATCCCGACGTGGTGGGTGGCAATATGAATGGACGGCACCGGAATCACGTGGCGGACATGTCCGTTTCCCACCAAGAGTGAGCTAAAACTCTTCCCGATATCAAGCATGACTGAATATAGGCCAGCACCCGGATATACCCTATTTCCGGTTTTGTTGTCCACTGGAAAAAAAAAAAAAAATAAATAGAAATCACCCACCCCTTCACTTCTGCGGTCAAAATAGATGTTGCTTAGAAGATAGATCTTCAAAAGAAACGATCTGTTGGATCTCAGAGACAGAAACATTTGATTGCCAAAGGAAACCACCTCTTCTTTTTTTACGTGGGTGTCCAGCCACCGTATGACGCAAGAGCATATATTCAATTTTTACCTCTTGGCCACGACAAAACCTATAACAGTGAAATAAGGAGCACTGAAAAGTTGTCTGATTCTAATCCACGGACAAGTATTTAAATATAGACGTGTGTGACCAAAAGCAGCAATAAGATGAAAGATAGACTCATAAAAAAACAAAAAAGTCGTTTTTTCAGACGAGGCATAGCCTGTAAATATCGAGGTGGTGACATTAGCAAGAAATATTTTTGTTCCAGTGAATTATTTTGTTTAGATGTTTACAAGATGATTAATCATCATTAACTGATAAAGGAATGTGGGAAGCAGATAAGTGATTTTGAAAGGATTTTATTCGTTTAAACTTTAAGCGTTCTGTAACAAAATTGCACAGATAAGAATTTCAGATCAGATAGCAAGAAAACCCACCGAGATTAGTTTTCGAAACGAATAAATGAAACGATAAAAAAATATGTACGGTATTAGTATTGGCAAATAAGACATTTGCAGTAATCTGCAAATTTACAAATCACAGAGATCGGAGTCATTTTTCTCACCAAACTCCATTCAAACTATTTAAATTTTGATATTGTCCTTGTAACTTACCGACATCCAAAAGTAGTTTGAAGCAGCGTGCTCAATCCAGATACAAAGAAGCTGGTGGAAATTAGCTCACTAATACCAACGCTGTCACCATTCATACAAAAAGCCGAGTTTGCCGCAACAATTGGAACGATCAGATTGCTGCCGAACGCTGTCAAGTAGTGCTGTAAATATTAATATGAAACGTCAGTATTTTGAGTGATTACATGTAGCATTTATAAACAGTGTTTCTTCGGACCATTAAGACAGTATAAAATTTTCAGTATAAATATAATTTATCTTTTCACAGAAAATAATGAACTATGCCGAGTGTTTCAGAGTTTTGTTTTAATCTTTCGAAAATATTTTTATCAGAAATTTTAAACAATGTCATAATACTACCGAAATATTTTAATCTTCTCTAATTAAGCATGAAAGCATTGAGAAACAACACAAAACGTTTTTCCTCTTTTCTTCTCTCGAAAAATAATTAAATAATAACGTTAGAGTTTTATTGGTAGTGGCCTTGTCTCGCAGGTCATTAACAATAAAATCAATTCCTCATTGTTTGGATTATGAATATACCATGCTTTTAAAGCTAACATCATCCAACATTCAATGATTCATAAAATCGTAAAATTAATTTTTTCTGACCGTATATTTCCTACCAACACCAGTTGGTAGGAAATACAGATTGTTCGATCTCTGGTATAAATACTTATTTCGAATGTTGATCTTCAATATATCAAACACTAGCAGCATGGCCTGGCGTTGCCCGTGCTTGATTAAAAAATCGTACGACTCGTACAGCAATCGCTATCATTTGACTTAAAATATTTTTGCCCTTCCTTGCCTTTAAAGGAGTGCACTTTTCCGTGCTGATGTTGCTGCATGCCTTACTTCTTGCCTATCTCACACTGCGATTTTTTTCTAAGCTCTATACTAAACATTAAATCTGTTACGAAGAAAGAACTAAACGAAATGAACACAAATTTCTGCGGAATCAGAATCAACGTTGAGTTTAAGCAAGCGAATAAGCCAATTGGAGTAAAGTGCCATGCAGATTTAAATTTTTCCCACTTGTGACGAATGCAGCTATCGATTTTTTTTGCATGCTAGCATGCTAGTTAACATACGTGTCAGTCAGATGTTGGCTCTCACTCTGGCCAATAGAATCTTCTTGCCTATTCGTGGCAGCCAGCTATAGGCTCTCTGGCCAGTAGAAAATGGCCGCAAACTACATGAAAACTGCCGTAGAAGCATGAAAAAATCGATTATTTCCACTATCGATGGGAGTTGGGAAATGCAAAGTCGGTCTTGGCCTTCCCGCTAACTTGGAGCATGTGCATGTAAATCTTGGTGCAAATCTGTCGAAAATTGTGGCCGTCTATTCGTTACACACACACACACACACACACACACACACACACACACACACACACACACACACACACACACACACACACATCCTGCCTTTTATAGATAGAGATTACTTTGAAGACAAAGACTCTACACAAACTTCTTTTTTTTTTACATAGAATGTTAGACTAAGCTTATCCAGAATGTAGGAGGCACGGTAGAGTAGCGACTCGGATTGAGGAATTAGAGAGCCGAGTCAGAATTCCAGTCGAATCCATTACATTCACTTACGTGCTAATACCCTTGGGAAAGGTATGAATCCTCTTCTTCTCAAAGATATGGGTAATTAGTAGGACAGACCGGGTTCTATAGTTTTGGATGGCAACTGGTCTACCACAGAAAGAAATGGCAACCTAATGCGGGAAAAATCTACCTCGTCAGTCATGTATCGAAAGATACATGATCGCCTAAGCGTGTATCCCGCATGGCACATAACTGACTGAGGTATATAAACCTCAGTTTGAAGTATAAACTTACTGGAATCCAGTGAATCCTTGGTGTAAACATCAGAATACTAATATAGGGATGTGGATCGAAGCGAAAATTTTTCAACACCCAGTAGTAATATAGTTTAAATTAAAAAATATCCAATCATACTCTTTGGAATAATGCTGCTTTGATATGATAAAATCAGAAATAAAGAATATACCCCACATCCAATTGTTCCTGTTTTGTTTACGTTCTCTTTGAATACAGAACCTTTACCCACTTAGACTGACTTTGGATATACGCTTTCAATTGAATCCCAACCTTATAGAAAGGAAGAAAAGAAAGAAATATGATATACAAGTGCACAAATTTTATTTTATAAGACATAGATACATGTTGCCTTGAAGTTCTGATGAGTACACATATTTTACAAGACACCAAAGTAGCCTGTTATATCGTAGTTATCTGCTTTGCCAAGGTAATAAGAGACTTTTGATTGTCGAGAGGAGTAAGAAAATGCTTAAACCGAAGAAATGTTGAATGCTTTTTTTTGGTGAAGAGATATTCGTTTTTTTATTCTGCTCTAATGACGAGATATAAAAACAGTTATTTATAAAGGAGATGCATTGAAAGTTTATAATTTACAGCTGGACAAATATTGATTCTTGTGATGTGATCGTGTAAAGTATCCGAATCAGTTGTGCATCGGCAGCACGTGTGAAATAGTCTCAGTTGAAATGAAAGTTTATCCAAACAATAGAAAAATTCAACATGGCTCCGAATTATTACTAGTCGCAATATTAATTGCTGTTTGTTTCTCAAAATTCATTGTCGCTTAATTTATTCATCAAAATCCGGTTTTTACTTGAATTTATTTAGAGCATAAAATTATTGAGAGAGGGAGAAAGGAAAAGGGCGGAGGAGAGGAAGAGAACGAATGATTATTGCAAGAGAGAAATACACTTACCTGAAGACCCAACAGAATACACATGTACCAAGGAGGAACATCATCTATTTTGTATATTAATTCCGATTCACTCAAAGCTACACTAGTCTTAGATTTGATACGAGGACTTAAACTTTCGACATTTTTCTGGGTTTTTCGAGACGAGCTCTTCATCCAGAAGAAAAAAATTGTTTAGTTAGAGAAATTATTTGTGAAATTCCAGTCCATTTCTATACGACAGATACCATAACTACCTGAATTTTAAAGCCTATATTCTTGGTCTTTTTCTACATGTTTCTGAGCTTGATTATGGCGATACTATCCCTGGTTGAGGGTAATAAAAAAGGATTGGGAAAAAAAACTCATCCTCTGGATTATTTTCCAACAATCAGAACAGAATTAGAAACCCATAATTTGAAAAGATAGCTTCGTGAACCTACTGATGCAAATATAAACAAGGTTACCAGTCGTATAATTTCTATTCATTCTCGATACACCAGTGTGAATAATCAGGATAAATGAGGTCAAGCAGATCAGCATTTTCAAAATGAAGGGGACTTGGCTCCGAAATACCACATTGCCATTCAACAAATCCATATACGAAACTTAATACAAACATATGAAAAATAAACCTACCAAGTTTTCCTCGATGATACATGAGAACTTACTCGCTGTTACCGTCTAGGTAACTTTACTATTTCGCTAAAAAAAAAAATAAAATAAAAAAAAGCATGATAAAAACGTCCTTAAACTTGATAAAAACAATTTCTTATCGTCTAAATGTTTGTTATTATTAAGAGGAAAGACCGAAGTATTTTTATTGTATTTAACATTTTTTTATCCTTCCTAGCATGGCCGAAATGTGAGTTAATAATCTTTTTTACGTCAGTGAAATTCGATGATGTCTGATGAAAAATTTGTAAACAAAAGTTAAATTCATCGTTTAAACATCTTGTAAAATTCAATTATACCTTTTTCAAAAGTTATTTTAGGAAAATTTGGAAATCTAAAATTTATTTAATATATTTGGAAACAAACATTACTTTCTTCGCAGAAAAATAATGTAGTTTAAATAAGAGTAATTTTTTCTAGTTTAAGTTCTTTTTTTTTAAGTTAACCAACTTATTTACCTCGTAATTTTTAATAAGAAACAAATACTTTCAATATTATAATATTGTATTATTTTCAGGTACTTTACGTTTGTTGAAGATGTTTTCTGGAAAAATTAAAAATACTATAAAAAAATTAAAATTTCATAACTGCTGAGAGTGAGATAAAATTTCATAAGAGAGGTATCTCTAATTTTTATGATAGTACAAAAATAGAACCATATAAATTTCATAAAACAGGTACCTAATGATTGTAGCTACCCTTTTCATACTTGAAATCTTATACATTTTTGAATGTGTTTTTTCCATATTTTTTTGAAAATAAACAATTTATTTCAGTTAATGACTTTTATTTTACTTTGAAGTAAGTTTGTTGAAGCTAAAAATAATTGATGACTCTCGCTATAAAACAGTACAAAATTCATTTTGTATTCCTACTTTCTACGGTCATCCGTACATTTGAAATAAAAGCGTTTTTATGAGCAGAAAAAAAATGTTGGTTTGCAGATTGTAATAAGTTTTAAAATTTATGATCTGTAAAGATAGATCTACTTAATATCACAATTGCCTAAAAGGCTCAGTTTTGCTAAATAATTTTAAAATATTTAACAACTTTAATGAAAAAAATTGCAAAAAAAAAAAAAAAAATTAAAATAATAAATAAATAAAACAAAAAGAAATACAAAACAATTGTTGTAAAAATTCATTTTTTATCGAAAAAAAAAGCTTTTGAAATTAAACAATGTTTTATTGGGTTTTGTATGTTACAGTTCAGAGCTGATTTTCGGTAACAAGTGTTTCGATGGTTTTTTTTTAAAAGCATGATTTAAATTCTTCAAAGTCTTCTGCTTTTAACTAATATCATCACTAAAATGCTCAGCATTGAATTTCTAGAGGTTTCATAAAATTAGTTAGGTGGTGGGGGAGGGTAGCAGATGTAAAAAGAAAATAGTTTTATCATGACTTAAAAAATATTTAAAATAATTTGAATCATTTGTGAACAGTTTCTGAAAGTTTCATTAAAATCCCACAATTTTCTTTTATTTTTGTAAGATTTTCTAAATTAATGTTAATCACTGCAAAAAATACATATGTATGTTATTTAGTAGTTCCGCTGACGTAAAGACAAACGATATTTTAATCAAAAGTTAGAATGTTCTAATAAGGATGGAAAAATTTAATAATAATCAAAATACTTTGGTCTTTCCTCTTAACAAACATTTTGATGATAAAACTTTGTTTCCATCAAGTTTAAGGTTGTTTTTATCATGCTGTTTTTTTTTTCTTAGCGAAACCGTAATTACAAGTCTGTACCCGTTTCAAGAAGTTTTCCACGGTTTAATTTCGATACTCCATATTCAATAACAGACGGTTACGCAATTACGTTGACCTATTGACCCCGGATATGTCAGAATATTAATATCAATTCGCGAACTTTCGCTGTCTCCCTCTTCCAAAGACAATTTTAAAAATTGATTAATTAATTTAAGTTATCAATTTCTTATAGATATTTTTCTCTAATTAGCTGAATTTTATTAGACGTTCAAAACAATATTTTGATTGACATTTACACACTTCTTTTTTATATAAATTATTGTAAATAGATTTCTTCTGCTTAAATTTCACACTGAGTAAGAGTTCTTTTTATTGTGTTCCTAATGAGTTAACGAGGTTGATTTTTTTTATCTATAAGAAAATTCATAGTTGCGTCGTTATGACAATTCAGTTAAAGACAGTTAATATTATTTATAGCTTATTTTCAATGACCTAGATCGTACTATTCCCGAATCTGCTCATATTCATACGTAATTTTGGGAACAGACAAAGAAATTTATCTATTATTATTTATCTCGTGGTTTTGGTTGCTACCATGGAAACACTAAAAAATACTCAAAGTGCCGTTTTTAAGAAAACGAGTGAGGTAATGTGACCAGCTTGAAGTGGATGATAATGTCGAGTTACCTCCTAATTTGCGAAACCGCTGCTAGGGGACACTCTCCGGACTATAAATACTCTGCGATAATTTTTTATCACTCACTTCTCACCTTATCCGCTTGTCAACAAGCAACCTATTGCAGAGAAGGTGTTCCCTTTGGGAAACGCATGAACAACACACACACACACACACACACACACACACACACGCACGTACGCACATTCACTCACTATACATACTTTGGACCAAAAAGGTTTTCACATTCATTTGACACACACATTTTTGTCTTTGTCACTTATAACCATTTATTGTTAATCCATTATCATTTATTTGTACATATAGATTTGTTTTTGTTGTTTCTTTTCATGTATTTACGTGGACTCACATCCTGAGACTGCCATGTTTGTTGTGGGTATTTCAGGAGACACACATGTTTAACTCTCAACGCATACACCGGCCCGCGACAATAAGTTTTTTGATAGACTTGAAGCCTTACGTGTAACAGCTGAGGAAATTAGGAAATGAAATAACTAAAGGGTAAAGGAAGAGATAGAAGATAGTTACATGAAGAAACAGAGTAGGGTATTTTAATCTGCTGTACGCATTGGGAGAAAAAAACGACATGTTGATTAAGCAATGGAAAGAAATGGATGATTATTTTCGGGAAATACAATTATTCTGAATAGGGAAAGTGATGTTAAATTAATAAAAGCGGAAATTGGCGAACTTTGAAATTCACCAGAGGGAATTGGGTCAGTTGGTAAATGAAAGTTTGTTTGCAGTTAATACTGAACTTAACACGAGTCAGCTTAACAAAGAATGGGTACAGAATTAATTGTTTGACTTCTATAGTTAAAAATCAAGAACTCAGAATTGAAACCAGTCGATTGGCCGACTTTATCAAGCAATATTTGCATCTGTTTACAGTGTACGGTCGCTTGAGACAAACCTCGACACGTGAGGACACAACTAGATCTGTTATCCTTAGGACACCCGTCTTCAAGCATAGTGACCCCAGAAGAATTAAGAGATGTTACAGAATTGGAAAGCCAGGGCCAGGATGGTCAGCATTTGGTCGGACCGACTTTCATTATTATGAGTTTTGTTTTAACTGTCATGTAATGGCAATTATATTACTCTTCAAATGAGAGAGGGAGAAAGGAGAAGGGCGGAGGAGAGAACGAGAATGAATGATTACAATGCAATAGAGACATTCACTTACCTGAAAACCCAACAAAATACACATGTACCAAGAGGGGGCATCATTTATTTTGTATATTAATTCCAATTTACTCTCAGCTACATTCGTTTCAGGTTTGACTAGAGAGCTGGCACTTTCGACATTTTGCTTTTCCGGTTCTGCCAAGACGGCCTCAGTATCCTGAAGGAAAACGAAACATTTCTATACCATTGGGGACATGCCTGTTAGGGTGTGGAAATACTTTTCAACATAGCGAAAGTCATAATTTTTATCTTAAACATTAAAAATAGAAAATAACTGAAAGCAGAAAAAAACAACAAAACAAAACAAAAAACCAAAAAAAAAAACCAAAACAAAAACAAACAAACGAAACAAAAATCCCTACCGTCATCCATATTTTACACCGGTTCCTGTATGTTCACCGAAGTTCAGCAACGTCAAGCCTGGTGAGTATCTAAATGGATGACCGCTTGGAAATACCAGTGATAGTGATGTAATGGATAATGGCTCGGAATTGTTAATTGAAGAGCCTAATTACAATTCCCGTTGCGTTCATTATATTTACTTAGGTGCAAATACCGTTGGGATAAGTATTAATCCACCGCTGATCCTCCCAGCTATGGGCAAATTAGTAAGACTAGTATCATTAAATAGTAAAAAAATTCTCACTATCTCAAAATATTTTCTGGCTTTAAATAATCGTTCTCAGAGTAAAAGTAATTACCACGTGTTTCTACGTCTTGGAGCAATGATGAAAACAAGAGTGAGACAGGAAATGTTTGCCTTTTTATAGTCTTCAACAACGATATTTGACGAAACCAAGTGGGATAATCATATTTCAGGTCCTTTTACTCTTAGTATGATAGGAAAATGTATTTCATCTTATTATTCTTTATTATTATTTATCGATTTAAATTAAAACTTTAATATTCCCAGTACCTCCATGCCACATTTATACAAGCAATTATACACTAATCGGCAAACCCACGTGCGTGTTCCATGAAACTCTAAACGAATGCCCTATATTTACAATATTTAGAACAAGTGGGAACGGTATTAAAAAGCGTCGTTCTTATTTGCATCATTTAAAATAATAACTTCATGATGAGGCTAACGTGAATTATATACATTGAAAAATGTGTTAGCATGACGCTCTTCCCACATCCTAACTATTGGTACAAAAGCAAGTTAACAGCGCCAAAAAAAGAGCAGAAACATGCAGAATAAAAATAAAAATAAATTAAAACTAAAAACGAAATACTGACACAATTCCATAGAACTGTGCTTTCTATCAGCTGACAAGGGGGAGGGGAAGGATGTAGTGGAAAACAGAAATGAGGGCGACAAAAACAAAAAAACAAACAAAACAGGAGGTTTCTTTAAAATGTCCACATATTCAAGATTTACGCAACAATATTTTACGCGTAAATAAACTAGGATGAATAACATGCTATCATACAGGCTTTTATTCATTCACAGGAGAGAAAAAACGAAGTGGAAAGGAGGAATTAAATACAACATGACTCTTAAAAACAGTTTTCGCATTTATGTCATATATTAGTAGAGCAAAACCAACCAAACAATAAATAATTTAAACTTAATACTAAGATAAAGTTTAATAATATGCATTTGTATATATATTTCTTTTATTGATAAATTTAACCTATAGCTGATGTGTGTGCGTGTGCATGCACAACCACAAACACAGACTAGCCATCGGCTAAATACATACATATATACATACACACACACATATACATATATATTTAAATCACACAGATAAACATCTATAAAATCTGGGTTATTTAATAATAAAGTGTAATGTAACTGAAATTGTGCAATGTGCATTAGTATTAAAATGTCTTTTTACTGATAAATTTAAGAGTACTGTAATTTTAATTTTTAATATTACAATCATTCAAGCCTATTTTATTATATAAGTTTTATTTATTTCTCTGTGTTACATATTAAATTCAATAGTCCATCAAGACGTAGGCGATCATGGCTCTCCTCTTTTTCTTTATTTTCTGTGAATTAACGTCATTCCTTATGAAAGATAGAGAAAACAAATGTAATCCTTTAATTCTTACGCACAAAAAGAAAAAGTGTAATGTACATCAATTTTGGGAACATTAACTTGACATAATTTCAGTTGGAAAAACACTAATTAAAAGTTAGTTTTTTTTACTGTAGATTTTTCAACTTACCAGGCTGTCTTTTAAATCTAAAATCGATGTTGGAAATTTGACTAAAGTCTTAGTCTTAATGACTGATTTTTTAAAATTCAACAAATTTAATTAAATAAATGATTACACATTAAACATTTGAGATCTGTAACTTTGATGAACTCAAAACGAATAAAAAGTACAACGAATAAGAAGTACAACTTAAAATCTTTTTTAGATGAGGATTATTCAAATTCTTATTCCAGTACCATTTATTTGCAAATATATTACGGGAAAAATATTTACTTACTTGAATCATTTTGGCAGGAACTAACTTGAATCTTCTGGCAAATTTAATTACTTTATCCCAAGGATACAACAGCTCCGTTTTACAATTTATGAAGCAGAAATACAACGCCCGCCCCCGACTATATTAACGATTGGAGGTAGGGAGTGTTTCAGGAAAATTAGGCCGAGCTTAGCTGATTAGATTCGGTATCAGCGAAATGACTGACTATCGTTTTCTTTTATTTTCATTTTTATGTTACTATGTTTAAGACAAATCGAAGAATCTGAAAGACATTAGTTTCGTGGTTATCATTTTTTTTATTTACTTTTGAAATCACGACTTTGCTAAAATCTTCTGTGACATAATCGAGATTTGGCGACGAGAAAGGCTAGGCTGAGTCATATGTTGAATTTCTCTAAGACCTTTTTTTACTTATCCATATCCTCCTGGTCTCAGTTTAAGTTGACACCTTTTTTACCCATATATGGTGGTAATGTTTCTTCTTTATATTCCGTTCCAGAACGTAGGCGATCATGGTTCTCCACAATTTCCTGTTCTTTTTAGCTCTTAATAATTTTATTTTCATTATTTCTCCTAAGCCTTCTTCCGCGGTCCACTTATTTTTTTTTTAAGCATTTCACCCCAAGCAAGGCGGGAAGCCACTAGGACGCAAGGGGTTACAGAAAATGTAGAGCGAGATCAGATAGGAGTGATAGAAGAGGGTATGAGGAGAAGGGTAGTGGATAGATCAAGGCAAGATGTCGATTGACATTACACTTGAATAGCTGGAGATTATAGCTCTCAGGGAAACTGGAATAGGGAAGGGAGTTCCACAGGCGAGTGGTGCGAGACATGAAGCTATTAGAGTAGAAGAGGCGGCTACATTTAGGAATTTCGGCAGTGAAGGGGTGAGAGCGGGATGCCAGCCTCGTAGGGCGCTTGAACTCATGAAGTCTGGGAACCACTTATGTTGTCAAGTATGTTATGCGTTGTTTCCCTCTGTCTCTCTTGCCTTCTGTATGAGATTTTCAAAGCCTTCCTTCCTCATTATGTACCCCAGAAATTTCAACTGCCTCTTCTTGGTGTTGAGTATAAGTTTCTTTTCTGTTTCCATTTTCTCTAAAAACACGTCGTTGCTCACATGTTTACTCCATTTCTGTTGCTTCTTTGTTTTTGAGGAGAGCGGCCAGCATTCAATGACATAATGGGAAGATTGATATTACATAGCAGTTCAGTACGCTTTTCTTTGTTTCTAATGAAGTTTTCTATCTCTTAAGACTGTGCTTAACTTTTGGAATACATCTTTGTCTATCCCAATGCATCTTAGGATTTCAGTGTCGCACTTTCCGTCCTCACTTAGAACACTTACCAGATATTTAAATTCTTGTACCTGTTTGATTTTAGTATCTCCGATTTGTAATTTAAATTTCGAGTTAATCCTTTTGCTAATAATCATGCATTCTGTCTTGTTTATGTTTAGTCCTTTCTTCTCGCTTTCCTTCACTACCTTCTGTAGGAGATTTTGTAGTTTTATTTTCGTGCCTGCTATTTTATGCTGTTAAGATTGTAGTCACCAATAATGAATCATAGTAGGACATCTAATTCCCTCAGCATTGCCGCGCTGTATAAGTCGAATTAGTCCAGTCAGAAGACACATCCTTGTCTTATACCCTTTTCTGTTTTTGGATACCTGTTGAACTCATTTTCTATCCGTAATCAGACGGCTTCCTGCCAGTATAGGTTCTTGATTATTCTGATATCCTCCCCAAATACGTCAACGTTGCTGAGCAGTTCCAACAGATCTTTGTGGCGTACTTCATCGAATGCCTTTGCGTAATCTACAAAACACAGATACACGTCCTTTTGCATTTGTATTGCCCTTTCTGATAACGTAAGAGGTAGATACCAGTCCCTTTATTTGCTGCATTAAATCACAGCCATACGGCCCACAGTAATGAACGGCCCACAAGGTTGACTGTGGAGATCATTTGAGTCCGATACATGACATCAAATAGTATGGTATACATTTCTAGCTAAATGAACCAATTTTTTGGAAACTACTGAAATACTGAGTTTGCTATAAAGAAAAAGAAAAAATAAATGTTTTTTTTTTTTTTTACCTCACAAACAGTAAGCCAGATAAGTTCAGATTCAACTTTCGATGTCAGCTGAGGTCATTGAGGTGGAATTAGGTTGTGGTCTTCATAACCTGATTTACAGATAATATTTTTGGGAGATACCATTTATTAAATGAGTAAGACTTTAGTACAAATAATAATAAGACCACAAATATTACTTTTATATTCTATTGTTTATTTTTCAAAATCTTTTTAGAATTGTTTTTTATAGAAACTCCAACATCGTCATTTCACGATTGATAGAATACCGTGTGAATCGAGAGAAGAATAGGAAGAAGTTCGAATTCATTATGCGAAATTGGTGAGCAGTTTTCGAATTCCGATGAAGTAGAGAAGGTGTATTTCGAATTAATGCTGAAGTACATTCTTAGGAAGATTAACATCTGTTCCATTACAAGTTATCTTGACAAAATATCTAATCACTACTGTAGCCGACGGATAACAGAATTGGAGTGTGAGCATGTAGGCAAACTGTAATAGTGGTTGGTTAGGGTTACCACTAATTATCATAGCTGTATGATGTGTAGACGTTATATATAGGCTCGCTACATAATAATACTTGTACTGCTTGTACTGTTAGAATATCTCAGTTGCATATTGCGAGATGACCGGTCTCGGGGAACAGCTTCCCGCGGCAAGGCCCCCTCATTGCCCTAAAAAACGGGAGATCAGTAGTAATATCGATGCCAACGCAACCGACAGTTGCGGGGGTTAGGTAATTTTTGACGCTGGCCCGGGTGGCTTTCCACATTAAACCGGTCTTGTGTCACATCCGGTTACCGGGGTTGGGAAGTGGGATCGTGAATATATAGTACTTGGACTGTAATGGCAATGTCTCCTCTGCCAGCATTATTCGTCCAAGTACCAAGGGGTCATCACCCCAGTCAGTAACTCCACTTTGGTGAAAAAGGTTTGTTATTGTCAAACGAATCATCATTAAAACAAGAATACGAAGAACCCATTGTGAAATTTCTGCATTGACTACGAAACGCCAGCAGATATTGTGAATTTCAACATTTAGGACCGAAAAAATGCCTATTGAAAAGGAATTACTTCAACTAAGACTGACAGAACGTATGCACAATATTTCGCATGATACTCGGACTTTAAATCGAATGGACATTTAGCCGAAAATGTAGTGGCGTGCTTACATGTATGACAAACTCTTTATCGTAATGTGCTACATATATTTATATTTATTTACTGTATTTATAATTTTTCTTTTTTTTTTCTTTTGACGGGCTTTTTTAAAAAATCTATTCTGTATATATTATATTTTACTTCAAATATTACTGTCAGATGATAAATATTTCGAGAAAATGTACAAATGTACAAAATTACGATATGAAAGATCTTTCAATTTCGCTTTTCATGATCATTATCTTAAAAGGGATGAACTAGTTTTATCTTACAGTTAAATACGAATTTAAATAATAAGGTGCTACTTTTTACCCAAATGCACTGAAATATTTTTAAAAATACTAATTTCAATAAATAATTATTGAAATAAGTAAACTTTTAACTTTAAATTTAGATTTAGTAATTTAATCACTTGAAATTCAGTGGTAATTATTAGTCCTATTCCACCTTATAATACTGCTAATTAAAATACTTAAAGTATTGCTTGTTATTATTTTTACTTGTACTTTTTGGGTGAAATGCCCGTCGGCCAAATGTCTCTCGGCCAAATGTCTCTCGGCCAAATGTCCGGCCACGATTTCGCATAGATTGAAAATGTTAGAACGGTCGCTATTAAGCAAAATGTCGTTAGAGGCATGTATCAAATTTATACAATAGGAAGAGTTGATTGGAAAATTCAATAAAAAAAAAATCAACCCGAAATAATGAACACGTACATGATAAAGAAAGCAACGGTAAAATGCGAATATGGTAACTATACTATGAATCTGAACTAACGAGAGAAACATCTCAACATCAAATGAAAAATGAAGACAGATATATAAAAATTGTAAAAAGAAAAATCATTTTTAGTCGGTGTTATAAAAGAATTACGAAAAATGTAAAACGCATCAAAAAGTGAAACTGATGTATAAGGCTCGTTGCGTAAAGTAGTGGCAACATTACTCGTGTTGTTGCCAAGTGGTTCGAGTAATGATTGATCAGCAGCGGAGCGAACACCTCTGCCATTATTATTAGCTCTACCTCCTGGGGATCTCCCAAGCAGTATCTCTCCTTGGGTAGAGGCTGGTTTTATCCCCTAGCGTCTCAGGTATCCCCAAAATAGGGAAGTACTGAGGATGGCTTCGAAAATTATTCTGCGGTATTGCCAAACCTATATTAAACTCCTCGACTTTGTATCACATTTCGTTGCGTCGTGGGCGTATATTTAAATACTTGGACTGTAGAACCAATACTGACTGTATACATCTACAATCCCTACTTGGAATATTATAAAAAAAAAGTTCCTTGGTCAGTAGCAGTAAAACTATTGTTCATAAGTTCATCATTACGTTCAAATTCAAACAATGGTCTAAGGGAAATAATCAATATTTCTCCCTGAGTTATCTCCCCTATCACATTAAATAAAAAAAAAAAAAAAATTAAAATCCGTTTCTTAATTTGAATTTTAACATTTCTGATCATTGTTTCAGAAACTGAATTATAATTTAAACATTATATAGACACGTTTCTTGAAAGAATCTTTTTTTTCTGTGTGTTGTGCCTCTTCAGGACATAGGCAATTATGGCTTTCATAACGTTCTATCAATTGCAGCTCTTACAAAGGTCTGTTTTCTATCACCCCCTGTCCCTTATCTGCAATCCATTTACAAAAGCTCGTTAGGAATGCAAATCGACGTTTCCCTCCTTTTCTTTGGTCTTCAGCATGCCTTATTTAAATGTATATTTACTTTATTTAAATATTATTGACTC